AAAAAAAAAAAAAAAGAGAGAGAGAGAGTGAGAGAGATTTGTTCCATATGTCAGAGGCAATTACTCATATCAACAACATATGTACAATAAAACTACAGAGGTCTAGTAATTATCAATAGAATACGATTAGCCCCAGACATTGAATTTCTTCAGCATTATTACATTTACAACCAAAAAGGAGATTTGTTCCTTTCATGTAATGATGGTTACCAAATTACTGGTATCATTCATGCAGCTCACTAATGAGAAACCCAGTAAAGCTGAATCATTTCAATAGCTCATTTTCAGATAAGGCTCTTTTTGCATTAGGAAAATTGAGTAAAAGGAACAGAAAAGAAGGGGAAAAACTACATTTTTTCCCCACTCTTTCAAGGTGTTCAGTTCCCCTTCAAACTTATATAGAATTTCTGTGATATGAATAATCATGAGAAACCAAAATATTTTGTTCCCAGGAGCCCATTTCGTTTACTCTCATGTTCCAGCAAACTTTCCCAAATACAGATTTAGAGACTGAATAATTATCAAGTACCAAATTGGGCGGTCCTTGTATAATAGGTTGCCAACAAAAATAATCAAAATCCTTAAAAACAAAAAGTACATTCTAAACCCTTTGACATTTTACCGGAATACAATGTAATGCCTCAGTCACAGAATAAAGAAATCAAAATGATGCATAAGCATGACAAATGATAAGTCACAGCTAATCCCCTCCACTATATTTTTCCCATGGGATTTGAAGAAGACCCCAATAAATGTTTCAGTTGCCATTCTTCACAACTGAATTAATTCGTCAGTAATAGTATCTAGAGGAGGAACTGGTACGTCATTACCTGTCCTATCACAGCCTCTCCATTAACATCAGATACGATAGCTTCATTAGCCTGAATGATCCAGTGCCTCCAATTCAGTTGGCAGGAGCTGAAGGTCATTCCATCAATGATGCACCCTTCAGGCAAGAGGGACATGCGGATTGAATAAGCAAACAAGTACTTCTCAGCTCTATCTTCTGGGTTAGCCAATTCTGGAACAAACACAGCAGAAGCACGAACCTGAAGCAGAAAATATTCTTTGTTAGTGCTATCAAAATAATAATGAAGAGACTGATTGCAATACTGTTACACATAGGGGTAAAAACACATTTATAACAAGGACACAAAGAAAAGGCTCCCATAGAAGGACAAAAAGACCTTGTAGTTTTAAAATCATACAGCCTATAGAATAACAAAAAGCAAACATATGTTAATTTTCAAAATCCTACAACTACTTTTATATACTTAAAAAAATTGTAAAACAAATAACCAAGACATGAAAAGAATGCATGTTATAGCAACAATATAACAAGGTTAGTTGAAAAGAAAAATTAAAATTCACACAACATATCCAAATGAACATATTCATTCCTAATTCTTTTTTCTTTTTTTTCTTTTCTGCTCAGTCATTCCTAATTCTTTTAAGCTATGTAAAGCAAAAGTTCTAGAGTCCTTTGATACAACTTAAAAGATGAACTCATGAAAAGGAGGGAAAGGGCTACAACTAGAGGGAATGAGAATTAAAACCATGATATCAGATAGAATGGTGACAGGAAAGAAAAACAATTCTTCATCAGAATGCAACAGTGATTAATATTTGAGAATGATACAAGTTTTCAACCTTCACTAATTCTTCTCAGACATTAGGTTTCTTTGCAATCTGTCAAGCAGGAAATGGTAAATTTCTCATTCAGCTTTAAGCAACCAAAGTGAACACAGTTTAGAATAGGACAATGTGCCTTTATATAGGTTGACTTGAAGATACATCTTGAAACAACCCCAAAGGAGGTAGGACCCTCTGCTGAGCCCTAAAAGGTGAAATTACTTTGTTGTTTCCAAAATCGATAGCAAAATAAAAGAACCAGAAAACATTTTGCTTTGTCACCCACGACTAGGTGACATTGAACTTACCTAGCCAACACACTCTAATTTTTAAATAAATTGATGTAAAAGAATTCAAAAGAACAAAGTACCAGAAGAGGTAAACTGTGCAATTACTCTGAAACAATTACCTGCACACCATTTGTTACAGCAGTGGAACATAGGGGGGCAACCTCTGGAAATAGACTTATACTTCTAACATTTCCTTCTTCACGAACTTTGATAATGCCATTTTCTAAGCGGCGGCCATGTTCCTCTAACCACAGCAGCATGGCATCTTGCTGCTGATCACCTTGCAAATCATGCACAGAACGAATCAGTGCATTTGGGACACATTGAATCATTTCCCCATTTGTAGGAAGGCCCCCGGTCCCAACATAAAGTTGGCCATTCATACAGTTCAAGAAAAACAACTTCTCACTATAAGCAGAAGAAGCAGCCACAACAATGTACTTAGATCTGCTAGAAAAACCTAGGTGACGTATGACCTTTCTTGTTTCCACTATTACCTGACTTATGGGTAACATGTAGACATTAACCAAATGGTTATAGAAAGAGTAGCCACCTATAATTCCCAATGAGCTACCAAGCCATGTAGTTGAGTGGCCTTCGTCTGTCAGTTCTTGACCATCATGAAAACGATAGAGGAGCCTAGTGGGAAGGGGCAATTTAACTTTCAAAAGAGTTTCTAATTTTTGAATGTCAGATTCAAATGCACCCCTTCTAAGTGTAGCCTCAGCCTCTGGAAAATTATTGCTCAACCATTTTTTAAGCTTGTCCCAACATCTTTTAATTCGTTTAACAAGTGGCCATGGGTACATAGCAAAAGCCTCACGCCATAACTGATAAGCTGCCTGAGAATAAAAAGAAAAAAGACAAAGACAATAGCATTACCATAAGGAATTCAATCATCCAGATTCTTTCTAGTCTTAAAGAAATTAAACAGTTCTTAAGAGGCTTTTGAATAATAAATTCATATATACAATGTATTCAACCTTATTCAAAGGTTTGGCGTTTCCATCCCAATATAATTTTAGTTTTTACTCTAAAAATTTCACATTTAAATCTCCGATCCAAGGAAACTGATTTTTATTGGCAAAATTTCATTGGGCCTATCTAGGAAAATGTACATAGGCAATCTAAAATTTATGTTTTCTCCCAATTCAGCGAGAAGTCCAATCACATATTCAAACATTCATGCACAAATGATACAATGGGGAAAAAAATCAAGAATAACTTAAAAAGAAAAACCCAGGGAATGAATAGACAAAAGTAAATGGGTTTTAAATATTGCTATGTAAATTCCAATTACCTTGAAAGAGGAAGCAGGGTTTCCTTGATGATCTTGAGGAGTTGAAAGATGAAGATCTTGGAAACAAAATAGGGCCCAAAGAGAATCCTCAGAAGTGGAAAGCCTAAGCCTTCTGCTGACACATGAAACCCTGACAGTGTCTTCTGGACCTAATTTCGATAAAATTATGTGGAGAGCTAAATCTCCTAACCGATCCAAACCCACCTCTCTTTCCATCTAAACCCACACCCCAAACCCAAAAAATAAAAATTCAAAAGTTTCTCTTACTAAATCAAAGCAAATTCTGCATGTGTCTGGTCTCTGGTGTTGCTGTAAGAAGGAGGGTTGTTCAGTTTATTAGTTTTAATTTGAACTTCGATGAAGGAAGGTTGGAAAGAGACGGTGAGCGTGATAGGGAGGAAAATATGTGTAGTTTATTCCTCATATTCTGATGTCTGACACGTTGCAACCCACGTATCGGAACGCTTTCCTGAGTGTAAAAAAAAAAAATTATGTCACCGCAAAGAAAATTCTTTTAATATATAAGTTATAATATTTAAAAAATTGCTAATTTATATATAAAAAAAATTCAACTTTCATTATTTTTGATCAAATTTTGATATTTTTGTATCTTAAATCAAATAAAGTTTTATCTTTAAAAATTTTTAAAGTGTGGGTTACCTGACATGTAAATATATCATTTTGAAAAATGATGCTGTTATATGACAAATAATGTTGTCAAAAATATTACTGACTAAATTTTAAATTGAAAATACATGTAAGTATATATATTTTAAATTAATTTCGTTAAAGGATTTTAAATTATTAGTAATTTTTAATTGTGGTATTTTTTTTGGTAGCAATAGTGCTTTACTTCTATTACAAGCAAGAATACAAGGGAACACAAACACATGCTTTTTGACTTAAGGTGAGGGTGTGATAGTGGGAGAACTTTCAACACAATAATGTATACTCTGCCGGAACCATTTCTTCTACAACCACATAACCTGCCAGAAATAGCTCTTTATGCTGGCAAGAACAAAATGTAATTCTTCCATCCCCCATGTATGCTTATTGCTTATTGAGCATCTTACATTTACAATAAAAATCTTACATTCACAAGCATCATTTTGCAACTGATGTGATCAATTTCTCAGAAATGGAACGCTGAAACAAGTAACCGAGATTTTCCATTTCCCTAGATGATGCACCATCTGATTTCAGTACATCATCCTAAGTTTAACAATATGTTTTTCATAAATGAAATGAGAAAAAATGGAAAACAGAACTGTGTCATATGATGTATGAATTGATTTTACATAACAACTAATGGACACAACGAGCAGAAAAACCTGTGAATACAAAAATTCAGAGACCGTAACCCTATGTTGAGAGGGCATGTGACTGAAGTTGGCGCTGTAATCTGCCAAAGCTCAATTTAACCATTGACCCCCATTATTTTAAGGAGAAAAGAACCTAAAGACCATAGAAGATAACAAAATGTCAGTTCATTACAAAAGGAGAAAGCATATCCAAAGAAGAAATTCAGTTATGTTGACAAATCAGGCTCACCTAAACTATTGATGTAGATCTGGCAAAAACTATGAAGCTTTTCCACATATGTTCCCTGTGCAACATTTTTCTAAAAGGCAAATATAAAGCAAGTGCTGTTTGGTTTGTTTTTCTATTGCTAATTTACACAAAGCATAGCTGCCTACTGGTCATGATTTTTGAGATGCAGGCGCACTTTCAGTCAAAGATGAACCTAATCGAAGCATAAGGGGATATACAGGACTGAACTCCTTGTCTCCTCTCACCCTAACCTTTGCAGCATAGTCATCCAGAGTCGCCTTGATTCCTTTCCAAATCTGATCTTCCCCTTGAGAATCCAGCCACAATGAATATTGCATATGTGTGAGCTTGTTCCTCTGGAGTGGTGATTGCAATTCTTCAGGGCCTCGGGAATAAAGATGGTGTAGTATGACACTTGGAGGTAAATCTTGAAGAAGAGGAGATGCTCCTAGTTGAGATGTTTCCAAGAAGATAAGTGGTCGGAATGCTCGAAGAGCTCGATATGGAGCACCAAGTTGTTCTACTGGGAACAAATTTTGGCCCACAGCTAATTCCAGCTCAGCCATGTCTCTAGCCATTCTCAGCTTGCCTGATTCTGAAAGAGGTCTAACAAGAGAAGCATGCCTGATAAATAGGATCAATACTCGTGAAGCCATGCTCCTAACAAGCCTAGTGCATATGGTTTCCATTCCTGCAGTTGCAGCATTAGCTGAAGATGGCAACAATCTAGATAGGAACTCATTACGAAAGTGAAGAATGCACTTCTGCAACTCCTCCATGTATGGCGAAGCATTGTTGTCCATAGCAGCATCCATGCCAAGCACAGAAAAGTTTTGGTCATGAATTTGCAAGATACATGACTCGAGACGATCGATCATTGCTTGGAACAATGATGTTACAGAATCGCAAGCAACACCATATATTGCACCAAGTGAAGGTGACAATACATCTGCAGCGATAGTTGGAAGCCCAGTGATCATAGAAGATATGCGTGTATGAATTTCTTGCAGATGCTGACATAATGCAAAATTCTTGACCTGAGCTGGAGTAGCAGGACCAGACACTTGGCGTGCTTCAGGACCAGTGGATATCTGCCAGCATAACAAAGTTGGCACATTTATCATGATCAGGCGTCATGCAGATATATTATAGGCATGTGTGAGTTATGTACTCAAGATATGACGTGTTTTCACAATTTTATCTACTCCTAAAAAATTTGGCAAGAGTTCCCACAGTTTTGAGAAAGAAAAGGAATCTTTCACAAAATGAACAAGAAGATTAAATTTAAAGCTATGACTAACAATCAGACCATGTCCATGATTGATTAAATGCAGGGTTAGTAAATGCCCAAAGCTTATTCTGCATTAATTCGCTTGGAGCTAGGATAAGTGCCTAAACAAAGTAAAGCAAAAAACAATACATTATATTTGCAAGCCACCAAAAACATGAGATACTATTTTAACCAGTTAGCTCCAATAGATGAATAATTTTAGAATTGCACAAACAATAGTGACATAAACATATTGTACACAACATATATTTCTCAAACTTTTGATTTTAGAAACAATACTATGAATAGCATTGTCACTGTAGTTAAATGCATTTCTGTGATTATACAGATTCAAACATCATCAAATTTGGTTACATCATGAATTGGTTTATGATATTCTACAAAACATGCAATATGATCACACATCACACAATTTTCCAACTATACCAAAATGCTAACGATGACACCGTAGGAATGAGCGGCTACTAACAACAAATTCTCAGTCATAAACCCATATAAACAATCCAAAGCAGATTCAAATATGGCAACAATGCAGTAACATTATTCCCCTCCTCGGTCTCCCTACCCTGATCCAAAATCAAACAGCAAGGTTCCATTTGCTGTGTGCATTACTTCAAAGCATCCATCTGTTAGTTAAGACCATCCTGACATTCACCTTTTTAGTGGCAACAATTCCAGATTAACAAGATACCAGATCTTACTTCAATAGCACAAGTAATGAGATATATTTTTTGCAAAAATCATATGAGATTATACTCTCAAACACACCAGAAGCGACACTGAATACATTCAAGTTTATATTAATGAAAAATTTCTCACACAACACACGTTCTATTTAGTAAGAAGAGAACTTATATTTGCACACAGGAGAAAAAAAAAAAAAAAAGATACCTGATATTCAGCCCGTTCTGCAATCAGAAGCAAAACCTTGCCAATTTCACGCAGCACAAGAAGAGTCAATCGTGCATCCAACTGAACAGCTTCAATCTCTTCCTGAATGCGTGACAGAATTCTTGAGATCTGTTCTTTGGAGGGAACACTACGGCTGGAGACTGAAAAACAGAATTCCAAAGATCTGACAGGCGGCTTAAGCAGCTAGCTAAGAAAGACGTCTGAAATGTTTCAATAGCTGCAACCATTTGATCTTTCCCTCTGAAGTGACTGCTGGAGACCCCTGACATCAGTGTCATGTGAAATTCTTTCTAGAAGGTTTTCCATCATAGAGAAGAGCTTTGGGTACCCATTTGTGAATATCTCTTTGACAAAACTTGATGCAGTAAAAGCAGACTTCATTTGCATAGCAAAAGCCTTAACAAGTGCTTCCCATACTCGATCTGTTAGCATGGGATCACCCTCCTGTATAAAGCAGCATCAATAATAGTCAAGCAGGGAACCAGCAATTTCATGATATGTCAACTCAATTATGAATAGGTATTACCAAGACAAAAGGAAAAACACAAATAACAAGAAATGGTGTTACCTTAATTACTTCATCAAGCAGCAAGACATGTGTAAAAGGGTCTCTCTTCTTCGACAAAACCCTCTGCAAGTGCCAAATTGCAACCACAATAGAATGCAACTGATCCATACAACTCCCCATCCTCTGCCACAATGCCTCCCTCGCCTTCCCACTACCCCCATCTGGGGTGTGCCAGTCCCCCTAATGCCTCCAGGACCAAATCCCCCACCTCCAGCACCAACAGAAATCGCCTTCATATCCAAGGCCACACTCACACTCTTCACACCCATTCCCTTGTACTTATTCACCAACTGCTCCACCGTCCCTCTCAACTCGCCAAGATTGTAAAACACTTGCAACCCAGTTCCCACTTCAGCCTGATTCAACCCTTCCATTCCTTCCAAAACTTTCATAGTTCGCTTCGTAACCTGTTCCCTATCTCTCTAACGCATTAAGTTCCTCATCCACCATAATCAATTCCACCAAGATCATATTCCCGCAACAAGGTAAAGATATCATTATGCAACTGAGCAGCCTTAGCAAGATCCAACTTATCAGGCTCGGCTTCACAGGAAGCCATTAGGCCGTAGCTTTTTTGACAGGCGGATAGCACGGATGGAGTGGGGAGAGAAAGCCAGAAGTCCGATGTATTCGAGAAGCTGGACAGTTTTGGAGAGAATTGAATTATGGGCTCAGAGAGCTCAGATCGGACGCGACGAAGGGAAGACTGGAGAGAGGAGATGGAGGATCTGAGAGTGGAGAGAGAAAGCTCAGCGTTGTTGAGAGAAGATAACTGAGTGAGGAGGAGAGGGTGGTTGGAGAGGACGTGGGAACGAAGTTGGGAATCGAGTTGGCGGATGGCTTGGAGGAGGTGCTCGGCAGTGGAAGCAGGGGATCCGGACGAAAGGGCGCGGAGGAAAAGGAGTGGAAGAAAAGGAAGGGAGAGGAAGGGGAAAGATTGGGTCTTTGGCAAACGAGTCTAGAAGAGAAGATGGTGGAGGAGGAGATGCGGCGGTGTTTAGAAGAAGGTTTTGAAAGTGGAGAGACGGTGGAGTGGGGAGGAGGAAGTGGAGGTCGGAGATCTTTGGAGTGCAGCTGGAGAAGCCATTTTGGGTTCGGATTTAGGATCAGTGGCTCAGAATCAAAATGGATATGGACGAGGCACAATTCTTTCAGATCATCGAAAGGTATAAAGAATCAAAGAAAATGAGAAAGAAAATCTACGCTACGGCAAAAACAAATGCAGAATCAAAAGAAAACGACGAAAAATTTGATCGAGGCAAATACTTTGCTACAGTTAGAAGAAGGGCGAGCGAAGACGTACCGTACCGCTTTTCAGTCTGTCGCAGTAGGGTAACCAGCAACCGATAGGCGTATAGCCATCAAGAGTCAGTCGAAATGGAGGAAGAAACAAAGCAGGCTGTTAACCGAGGTCACGTACATGTACAGTACAACGCGCCGTTTCTTTCTTAAATAGAGAAACCAAAATTAAGTACCCCAAATTTTGAATTGTTATTATCTTAAATCAAGCTTATTTTTTCCTCTTTTTTAAAATAAATGAATACTGTATGATTATTTATTACTTATTTCTCTGTCTTAAACCAAAACAAACTTTTAACCACATATGAATTTCTAATTAAAAAGCAGATAGTCTTAAATTCTTGGAACAGGTTTTGCTCTTGTTTTCTGGGTTGATTTATGGGGTCTGGTTATGCAGCTTTTTGGGCCCGCTGCAAGCCGGGACATTCTGGCTGGTTTTTCTTTTAGCTTTCTGTGTACAAGCCTGTTTGTTATACTTTTGGGCATGATCATGGTTGCTGTGTGGTTTTGCTGATGGTCGTTCGATCCCATAAGCAAGCTGCTGACTTGTCTGTTGCAAGCCTCCCTGGAAAGGGTCCTGTCTTCCCAGGGTAGTGCTGTGCTTCCACCATAATTGAGGTAGATTTAGTAAAGTTAAGCAATGAAATTATCTTTCTGATTTTCAAAATAAAAAAAGAGTAGAATAAGCTATTCATCGTTAGCACACCATCGTCGTTGTTCTCATGGTAAGTAACTATTCACCAATTGTTTTCCTCTTTTCGTTTTCTTATTTTGATCCAAATTTTCCATATTAATTATAGTTCTCCCACCAATAAAAGGAAAAAAAAAAGGAGAAAAAAACGCACACGAATTATGGTCCAAATATTGGAAATTGAATAAATCAAGGAGAAGATTCGTTGACAAAAGCTATCTGGAATTGAAAAAGAAACCCAATTTGTACATCCTCATGGAAACAGCTAATCTAACAGTCGATGATTGGTTACGAAGCAGCCAAGTCTGCCCTCTCACCAAGCAAATCCACCAGCTTGTCTTCTCAAACGCAAAACGGCTAATCGCAAACTCACGTTAACGGTCGATAAATACAGGCATCGATTACCTACACAATCGGAAAGAAATATATATATATAAAAAAAAAAAGGGAAAGCTTTGTTATGCTGATGTTGAGAATATTTGAAGGCATTTGCCTTTGCCAGAACATGAAGCAAAAAATAAACGAGATACGATACGACATTATTACTATTCCCAGGCATTTGTCCTGCTGATGCATTTTGCAATTTATTTGTAAGGTAATTGTTAGTCCTCTTTCGTTGGTTCATAGTTTTCGATGCTTTTGAATTTGAGTACCAAAGCGCAGAACAATCAAAGAAATAAAACAGCCCAGCTGCGCTTGTTAATACCGTATCCCCAAGTGCTCCTATCACCCAACTTCAGACACACGTTTATGATTTCGAGTAAACACCATAGCAGCAATTATCTTTGGTATCAGCTTGAACGCTACACGTTTCCCTATCAAGGGCTTGGATACCAACCCCCAGCTTGGCTGGGTGGTTCAAAGTTGGATTGTATCGCAGCGCCCACATCCAACAATTTAAAAAAAAAAAAAAAAACAAAGGATGCGACATTTTGGAAGGGGTAACTTGCCGAAAAGGGGGGAAACTACACAGATTAGCGCACAAAGGAAAAACCTGTGAAGAATTGGTAAGTAATCAATTCAATGGCGTCATATGATTAGCCTTTAAAGATAGACAAGGATCAACCACAACGTAACGGTAAGATGTAACCTTCATTGAGATTAATGCACCTCACACAGTTGACACAAGTTAAAGAACATGAAACCTTGCCTTCACAACATCGCAAAACTTCAACCATGCTATACTCCTACCAGAACTCTTGAAACCAAAACCCAAAATGGAATTACTTGATTTCAAATCCATAAGTTTCTTCATGTACAAGTTAAAGTGAATCGCTTTATCTTGTCAAAGTCAGCAATTATACCATCAAAATCTGACATTCTTGGCACCAAATTCTATAGCATTTCGGAGTTTGGCTGACTAGATTTTCAAAAGCCCACAAGACTTGGTACTTTTCCCATGATCCTTGGAGAAGTTAAATACAAAACCTTGAACCAGATTTAAGATTATTTACAGTAACATTAGCTCTCAATACCATGAACCTCAGTTTCTTCTCTTTCTTTTTAGGGCAGCCTAAACACAGTAACAGTTCCATTCAACTAGTATCAGATTGAAACAATTTCATTTCCAACTCTACATAAAAACTCCAATCAGTCTTGTAGGTTCAATGTATAACAATTTCAACCCAGCTCACATGATGTAGCATGGGATTAACTAAGAATTAATCTTGAACCTTCCTGAGCAACAACCTCGATCTTGTTGAAATTCAAGCAAATCTTAAGAATTTCTTTTTAGAAAAAAACAAACTTCTATAATCAGCACCATAACGCATCTGAGTAGGGGGATATGTGAAAAGTCAGAAATGACAAAACTCTAAACGGTTCGCTACATTTGTTCCTTTGTTAGAGCTGCTTAGGTGTTGAGTAAAATGACAATTCTGGGAACTTAAATCTCATAAAAGTAATAACACCACAGACTAGAAACTAAAACGAGGCCAACATATACCATTCAACTTATCTAGATCATGATAGATTAAAATGTTGCACAAAAGGTTATGATAGGAACCAAGCCGTTAAAGCGCAAGAGGGGAAATTCTTTCTATTCCTTTTAATGCAAATAGATTACACTAAAGATAAGATCTCTTCATGCAGTTTTATTTGAATGTCATAGACGGGATGGAGCATTTGGCTAGACAACCGCAAAAACCTAGCATGACCAACTTTGGGAATTATAATATTATATAACATGAATTATTGATCGTTTTGATTTGTTAAAACTGACTCTATTTATTAATCAATTTAAGCACCGAAGCTGCTAGTCCAATTAATTGAAACTGTAATTTTATTTTTTTTTGAAAAATTCCATTGCAACTGTATTAAGTGAGTTTAAAATATTTGACAAATAATATATCAACATATAATGTTCCCGTTATCTGACCAATTCTTTTTTAGTTACTTGACCTTCGATACCGTTTAAATTTTATCAGTGTCCCAACTCCTGCCACATTATCAGCAAGGAATTCTATTCCCCTGAAAATATGGTAAGGAATGTCAAATTTGGTTGTGTTTATGAATCTTTTACACTAAAATTTGTGGCTTTCAGAAACTTCGAGAAAAAGATGGTGACAACAAAGAAGCGTCTTTAATTTCACATAATTAACCTTTATAAGCTAAAATAGTGAACATAGTTTCTTGGTCTTCAGATTATTGAGGGTACTGAATTTAGGTTAAGTTTTGGACTCTATTTAAGAGCACTACTGAATACGCTAGAGACTACCGCACCTAGCTTAGTGGAAAATAGTTGAGTGAAAAACACATTTTTAGCATTTCAACATAACCTTTCAAATTTAGAAAAAACATTTTTACAAAGTAAAATTACATATTTGAATCCCATAATATTTACATTTTAAGAAGTCTAAGAAAGGCTTATCCTATTGTCTAGTGCAAAGTGCAAACTCAGGCAACAAAAAGCTTCAAAATCTATGCAACAGTAAGATAATAATATAGATGAAAAAATAAATACACAGTAACAATGCTTGCAAACAAAAGAATAAAACAACTAAGATATCATAGCCACTTAGAGGAAAAAACATATGCATACTGTAATAACATCAATAAGGAAGATTAAACAGCCAGATATAAAACCTTAGGAGTGAAAATTAAAACTTATGCCAAAAACAATCAATTACTGCACCAGAAGAAATCATCTCCATGCATCAAAACCAGAGAGGAAAAAGTTATCAGACATCAATCATAACATGCAGAAGGCATGTCAACACAAAATGTACTCAGATTCAATAAGGATCATAATTATTTAGAGAACCAACTATATATATATAATTTTATCAAAGAAAAATCTGCCTACCTATAAGCACTAGAAAGAAGTGTCAAATGAACACACAGCAACCTCCATAACTTCAGCTAGGTACCTCTCATAATCTCAGCAAAGAAAACTCTACATATTTGATAAATCAGGATCCAGCCCAACTAAACAGCCACTCCAAAAATGCACCAATTAAATGTTTAACTATCCAGCAATTCCATAGACTAGATCAATCTGGAACCTATTGATTGCACCATGAAACTTGCAACTTAGTCTACTGCATAAGTATTTAAACATTTTCCAAGACATCACTTCAAAAATAGACACCAATCATCACTATCCTCAATTCATGGAAAAAATCTTTTGACCAACATAAGAAATGACCAAAAATTCTTGCCTCAGATCAAACCACTTCATCCTAGCTTGAACTATTAAATAATCATCATCCTTCATAATCCAAGAGGTAGTAAAACCAAACTGCAGTAATACAGCATTGAGAATAGCCAAATGACTGACAAGGGAAGGCTAAGAAGATTGGTGGATAAAAAGGTACAATATTGACCACATACTAACATACTACAAAAATGAAAGTAAAAGAAACCTGACTCAAATCAAAAGCCTTAATGCCAGACTAGAAAGTTTCAACTTTAGAGACCACAATCCCTAAGGACCACCCAAAAAGGGAATCAACTGCGAACAGTGTATGGGGATAAATAGGATATATGGCTGATGTAAGTAAACCACCCTCGAAATAACCTCTCCAAATGCACAAATCAGATTAGATCAACTCCCACATCCTTATTGTCACAGCCAACCCCATAACAATTTCAAAATGCCATAATATCTAGAAACAGTTCAACAAAAATTCAAAGCACCTCCTTATATCAAATAACACCCGCTACTTTGGCATTGATGCCCCATTTGCTTTTTTCAAGATAGCAAAAGGTCTGGCAAACCCCATTAATTACTTGCCCCAAACAATTTTTCTAAGCTCTAAATCCACAAGATACTTCATATATATAATTTACAGAGTGCATAAGCTGGCCATCTCAAAGAAGGAATAACATCGGTCAACAAACAACTATCATCACATAATACACAAGAAACAAGACCATTCCCTAAAGTAACCAGTTTGCATGCATCCACTCAAGAAAACAAGTTATGGCAAGAATTATTACCTACATGAAGGAGATTTCACAGCTGACTCCCCGTCCCTTGTCCGCCTGGAGTATTTGTTTGCTGCTGCTGAATCTGGAGGAGAAGGCTTGCAGCAAATTGCAGTGTTGACTGGTATCGCTGATTCTTATCAACCTCCACATCTGATGTGCCCTGACCAGCTCCAGAAAGCACAGATTGCAGCTGCGGTACTTGACTAGGAAGCTCCAAATTTTTTCTGTCAGCTTGCATGACATTTTGTGGCTGGGAAACATTTGCACCATGAACCTGATTAGACAAAACATTAGGATTGCTGGGCTGCTGAAAAGCTGGTGCACCATACAACCCAGAAACATCTGCTCCATGCATCATTCCATAGCCTTTCTGTGTGTTGGAAGGAACTTCAGGCTGATATTGCTGGCTGATAGGGGCAGAAACTGCACCATGTGCACTTCGAGAAGGAGTATTGAAATTAGTCAATGGCCTTGAAGATGCAGCACCTTGCTGTTGCAGGCTAACTTCAGACTCCTGAAACTGAGTGCTCCCAAGGGCCGTTTGCACAGAATGGTTGGGTGTACTTGATATAGATGAGTAATGCTGAACTGGTGGCAATTGCAACGGAGGATTAAACTGTTGGAAAGATGGGGGTGGAGGTTCAGAAGCTTGCTGGTCTTGGTTCCAAGTTTGTGCAGAAGCTCCTTTAGGTCCAAGGGTTTGAGCAAATGGGGACTGTGTAGTTGATGTCACCAATGGAGGCTGAACACCTCCTACAGCAGTAGACTGTGAGGTTGTCGGGAGTAAAGAAGCTAGAGTAGCAATCAAATCTGGTGTCAAAGCAACACCAGTTTGGGACAGTGATGCAGCATTACTGGGTGGTTGACTTTGCATAGTAGATTGCCCAAGTGGTCTTGCAGGAGGTTTGGTGTCCTCATGCAAAACCCTCCCATACTCCATCTGTAGAGCCTGTTCTTCCTTCAAGTGTGAAAGACTATAATCAGGCTGAGAAAGAAGAGGTAGATGTGGTTGCAGTGTTGTAGTACTAGGCACCTGTGGAGGCAATTTTAGAACAACACCATAGAGCCGTTCAGGTCCTACAACTTTTAGAACCTTTGTCAAGAAATCTGATGGAGGCACCAAAAATAACGTTGTCCCATCATCAAACTTAGCAACACCAGCTCTGTTTTTCGAACCGAGGTAGCGGAGGAATTCAGTGTATGAAGCAAAATCATCTTCACTATCCGGTAAGAAGAAAACAATATCAAATCCAATGGCCTCACGATAGTGTTTTGCTAGCATATCCAATCCTGTTCTGGCTGAACAGTTAACAACTTCCGGACTGAAGAAAAAAACAGGAAGTTTAGTGAGAAACATTAAACTTATGACTGACTGGAAGGAATTCAAACACATACAAAAAAAAAATGAAATTGCAACAAAGAAAACTCAAATTTAACGTAGTTCAAGGAAGAGAGCCTTTGAAATAAGGACCTTATTAGGCAATGCCTCAACCACAAAAACAAAAGAAATTGTTAAATAAGAAGCTTTCCTCAGATCCCTAAGATAATAAAGATGTGGTCTATCAGTAAATGTCAAATTGGCAGGTTCAACATAAATAGACCCTAAAGAAATCCGAGAGGAATTTAGTTATCTAACAAATTACAAGAGTGCACAAAATAATTCTACAAGGGCACTACAACTTTAAGCTACTTCATCACACTTTCTCATTGGGCATGTCTGGTGTGTCCAAATGCTTATTAAATTTCACCTTTGATTGCAATAGAATATTCATAATAGAGTATAAATGATCACACAAAAGAATGTGTGACCAACAAAGATTTTATAAAAGATCTATCAGGTAAAACCACAATATACTCTGTTCATAGATTCAAAACAGAAAATAAGCCACATTAAATGATCTACATGGAGCAAACAAGGGATTGAGCATTTTCTTTATAAAATGGAAAATCCAAGGGAAAGAAGTCAAGTACCAAGGAAAAAACAACACTTACAGTTCCGTCTCTATCCCTGTTCCTATGGGAACACATCGAGCATGACAAACTGGTGTTCCACCCTTAGCAATAATGCCACGCCACATGTAATCATTATCGGGACGGGCTAGTCCAGGTCCACCAGCAGTGACCTTTCCAGGCACCGGACTTAGACGACCCTTCCCTTGGATAGTTGCAAATGGACCTGAAGCACCTCCACCAATTACTGGCCCAAGCCCATATGTGTGGTCTGAGCCAGGCCCAAGATCATCCATCTTTCTTAAAGGAAAAGAAGTATCATCAATAGGCAATGAAGCCTCTATCCTTGAACGTTTTGCATCTCTCTGAAATTGGTTCACATCATAAACATCCCATGACCCAGAAGCCTGTCTCATTGGAGGCCTAAAACCTTGGGCAGAAGGGAGAGGAGGAGAAGGTCTTCTCCAATTTGGACTTATAAGAGTTTTAGGATCAGCATCCTGCATATTATGATGTGCAGATAAATCGTTGTATTCTGAACCTGAAAGCAGAGGCTCATAGCTACCTTGATGACTAAAAGGCCTGATTGACACATTTGACCCAAGAATGCTGCCAGGTGTTAATGGTCCAGATACTGAATTTGGTAATACTGAATGATTTTGACCAAACATCTCCACTTGTGAAGGTCTAAATGGATGATCACTGTAGAGCATGTCTGGCCTTGGCCCCTTGATGCCTGAATAAAAGCCAGAGTAATCTTTTCCAGGTGCAAGTTCACTACTTGAGAACATAATAGTGATCCTTGGATCATTAAATAAACGACCCTGTAAGCCCTCTTTTGCACGCCGAGCTTCCTCCACACTCCTGAACTCTACAAAGGCATAGTGTCTTGAAGGGAAGCTCTTAATTCTCTCAATCTCACCAAACAGAATCATAGCATTATGAAGCATTTGTTCATCAATCTGCACAGAGGGAGGATAACCTACCCACAAAACATTGCTAGGCTGACCATCTCCTCTTCGGCCACCTAATTGAGGATGCTGCAAAGATGATACAACAAATCAGAATGCAAAAAGATTCTAGTTAGGCTATGAACGTAGGTGAAAGAACAAGGTAGAATAATTATGATAAATCTACTTCAGCAGAGGCTTTCGGTTTAAAAATCACCAGTCTTTTTGCCATAGAATGGCCGTCGGAAGGCCCCATCCTACTAGAAAGAGGCCCATCTCTGAGGTCATGAGAATTAGGCCATTGTTCCTGTCAAAAGGATCAAGGAGAAAATTCGTTCAGTATGACACGTAACAGCACATTGACACGTTCAAAATGGATTCTTCAAGATACGTAGAAAAAATAAAGAAAAATGTGTTGGAGATGTGTTAAGCACAGGAATTCAGACTTAAAATTCTAAATACATGTACTTACTCTTCTTGAAGGGTGGGATCTTAAGAAATCAACACGTATCTGTTCACCACCTATTCGCTTCCCATTCATGCTTCTCATGGCCTGGGAAGCATCTTCCATTCTGCAATACTCAACAAATGCAGTATCACGATCTCTAAGGAACTTGAAATCTTCAATTTTACCAAACTTGCAAAATTCTTCTTCCAATTCTTCCTTAGAAACAGTTTGGCTAATTCCACCAACCCATAGATTCTTACAAGGTTTTGCCTGAGGAATTTCACAACAAACACCAAAAATTTCAAAGATTAGACATGGTTCCTCACATTAGACAGGTCATGTTAGAGGAAAAAGTTAGATGATAAAGTGCAGTTTAAATCAAATTAATTGTTAGAGGAATATGAAATATAATTGCAAATTTAAATCAAAACCTATTCTTCATATCTAATGCTAATATCCAATTGCTTTAAAATTCATATAATTGTATGAAGCTCTAATATATATTCTCTTGCAAGTAAATGTTTACATATGGCATTCTACCCTCCTTCAAGTCAAGAATGAAAAGCAAGGAAGAAATAAGAAAGAACAGAAATCCATTTTCTACATCAATTTCTGCCTTGTGTAGCATATACTACTCCCTTTCCAGTCAATAGCAAAAACAAGAAAGAAACAGAAATTCACTTCCTTGCACAGGAAAATTAAAATTCAGGCATATTTAAAAGATAAAAGAAAGAAAAAGGCGGTCTCTAGGTATTCTAACAACAACAATTTCTGGCTAATCCGCACAAGGTGATTCCTCCTTGGCTCTAAATGTCAGAGTGAAAAGAGTTTAACCAAGTACGGTAATATATGAATTATAACACTAAAAATTATCTTAATACCACACCTTCTAATTAAATATGCAGCAAAAGGAGTTATGAGATTCTAACCATCTCAGTTTTCTGTCTAATGATAATATTCAAGAAGACCTGAGAACCTTTTGTGATGTATGAAGTTAGCAAGCAAATGGAATACCCGAAGAACATCCCGATTTGAAGGAGTTCCAATATTTTAGAGCTTTCTGTAGCTTTCCTTGCTAATTAAGATTAAGGACCAGAACATCTTCACATATTTTCTTTTTTGTTCTTTCTTCTCAGTGCAAATACCTAATGTACAGATGAGTTATTGGATTTAGTAGACAGAATGAAAGTAAAGATGGATTCTAGGACTATGAAACAAATTTGTATTTTTAGATCTTTTAAAGGCTATAGATCTAAATAACCCAGCTACTTTGGGACCAAGGCTTAGTTGAGGTGAGTTGTACTTGCTTTATTGCTCAAGCCTAGTTATTTTGATCCAAATACATAAATATATGTTTTTTCCAACCTCCAGAGAGAAAATGGATATATTTGTAAAGGTGACATCCTCATTAAATAGATACACTGGACAATAATTTTGTTAAATTCCACTAAGTCATCCAGCTTTTTGAATTTTCACCTAAATGGACCAAAACTTAACTAAACTGACACAATACTAAACTGACACAATCTTATTTAATTCTATACATTCAAAGAATAAATTGCCAAAGATCAATTAGCATCACACAAGAAGAAAAATACAAAAGCATTGGCTGAGGCACAACAGCTCAAGAACCAATTTGATCAAATCCTATTGTACAAATAAGGCTATCAACCTTACAATTTCATTCTTTAATCAAAATTCTTTGCCTGGTAACCTAATGAAAAACATTTGAATATAACCAGTTTTAAAGGAATTACTTTGTTAAATGCCTTGACCGTGTGTATAAAGGAATGGTGTCCATATTTTTAGTTATTCAAGAATTCACCAAAATAAAGTAACAAAAAACATATCTTTTTTATTAATTGATCTGGAAGGGCATTTAAAAAAGCCGTATAGTGAATTCACAGAACACTTTGAGAGGTTTCTCCCAAGTCATACCATTTTATACAAATTTTCTTTTTGGAAAATTTCCTGTTATTGATATAAGGACTTATGTTTGCTTTTTCTTTGTTTGGCAAAATACACAATATCTTGTAATTTTTTGTTGTGATAGCACATTAATTACTAGTTGCCTCAAAGAATGGACCAAGGAATGGAGACATTGAAGGTAAAGCAACTCTGATAGTTTTCTACCAATAGTTGTTGTCAAGATCAATGGAAAACAGGTTAAGCTAACAGCTGATTTAAGCTATCTAAGGTGGACTGCTTTAACTCATTTTGAAGAATGATGTTTGTAGCTTAAAAATCATATATGGCATTTCAGTGATACAAACTTGTTTCTTGAAAATATTTCCCACATTAAAAGAACCAAAGGAAAAGGATGCAGCGCTTATTTGTTTATTTCCTTTCATCAACCATTGTTCGAAAAGACCACCAGGTTGTGATGGTGCACAAGATATCATGTTGATATATTAAATGATACTGTGATTGCATGATATGAATTGTTAGCGTATGTATGAAAGTAAGAGACTTGCCTGGGTCTAGAGGACTATACCCACATAGGTTGTTAACCACCTGTTGCTCGGTTAATTAAGGGGAGATGTAATAGACACAAAACTGACATTAAAAAAACCAGAGCTTTGCTAATAAAAAGAGAATGTACATTAAGATCCCTTTAGCAATCCATTTGCATGCATTGGCATCCATATTTCTATTCAGAGATAGGTAATAGAAGCATATAACACATTAAAATTGGACACAGTTAATCAATTGCTTGCTTTTAACCATGTAACATTATTATTGCTACAAGGAGAAAAGGTAATGTAACAATTGGAATATGATGAGGAACAACTAGAAGGACTAGCATAGAAAGAGTTTAGTATGTGTTAGTCTTCCAGTTACTCATTTTTCTTTTGACACGAAGCATCATAAGAGATTAGAACACAAAAACTTGCCTCAAGATCCTCAGCATTACCATCCTTAAGCCATAAATCCAAAAAATTTGGAACAATTTCTTATTATGTTTAGAATGCCTATAGCAGTAGCAAGGATTTCTAAATTCCCTTATACAAAAGATAACCAAGCTTTCCCGGTCTGAGGCCTAAATTGCTTTCCATCCTCTACAACCAGATTAGCCCTTGATTCTTTTCAATTTCAAATTCTCGTTTAATAATTCAATAATTACATCATATTGAGCTTGCGTTACTTAAGTTTTATATTCCTTCATAAAGATTTCAATTCTTTCAATTAAATATTTTGACTGCATTACTTAAATTCGAAATTTCTTGCAAGCCTTCGTTAACACGGCATCTATAATATACACAAAACTGAGCAAGATATATGTACGAATTTGGAACCCGTAAAATATCAATATCTATTCTGTTTCGTTCAGAACATGAGCACAAATAATTACACAAAAATTGCGAAAATTTTGACCCTAACGAGACGGAAAAGAGAAGAACAACGAAACGAACCGGTCGAGCGAACTCAATCTTGATCTGGTTTCCGTGCAAGGTCGTTCCTTGAAGCGCGTCCTTCGCCGCTTTCGCATCCTCCACGCGCTTAAAGAACACGAAAGCGTAGCTTCTCAAAGAGTACGTCGTGACGCTATCGAGAGCGCCGTACTTGCTGAACAACTCCATTAGATCCGAATCCACCGTCTCGCCCGACAAGTTCCCCACCCACAAATTGTTCGACGGTGTTTCCAATTCATCTGGTTCTTTCCCTAGCTTGTGTTGCTTCATAGGCGGCACCATTGCTAGGGACTTTAAAATTAGGGTTTTAAGAAATTGTTTAAAAAGTGAGAGAGAGAGAGAGAGAGAGAGAGAGAGAGAGAGAGAGAGAGAGAGAGAGAGAGAGAGAGAGAGAGAGAGAGAGATCTGAAACCCTACAATGTTAGGAAATCGAACAACAGAACATGAAAGAGAACCGATGGAAACGAAGAAAGCCTCGAGCCGGTTGTGGCACTATATATAAAGGGCGCGTCGGAAGGAGAAAGGATAGGGCTACGCGAAACGATACCCTTTGTGGTCGAAGAGGTGCATCGCCCGTAGTGCCACGTCATTACAGTAATTAAAGTTGTGTGGGCCGTTTCGGTAAATTGGAATGGTTTTAGCGGTAATATAGGATAATAAATTATAAGTTGCGTAACTGCTGAGATCACGAGGACATTTTCGGTGGGGATGACGTGGCTGTTTTGCTATTTGTGTCCAGCGTGGACTTTTTGTTTAGTAAGAAGAGTAATTAAGCTCACTTTGGCATTTTGGTTACAGTGTAATCATTATATCATATTTAGCATCCTTATAAGTTGACTTTCAATCCCAATTTTTATATTTATTCGCTATCATGTTTGCCATTTGACAATTGGAATTAATTATAATTGCCATAAATATTACAAAAGTCTTTTATTACTGCCATTATTTAACTAATCTCCTCACATTTTATTGAATTTAAACGAATTTTTAAACTTTAGTTTAATTCAAAACAAATTTTGAATTTTAACAAAAATTTATTTGTGGTTAAATTAATATTAACTTATTCATTTATTATATGACATATGAGCTGATAAATTAATATAATAAAAAAATCAACATTTTAATTAATAATTTTCATAAAATCATGTTAGCGCGTCAAGTTATGTGTCACATGGGTAAAAAAAAAAATCAATTGACAATGAGTATAAGGATGATAAATTTTCATTAGAATTAAAAGTTTGTTTACATTTAAATAAAAATTTAAAAACTTAATTAAATGTAAGAGTTTAAAGCAAAGTAATTCAAATCACAATATCGATTAAATTCTAAATTAAATTAAACATTAAATTTTAATTTAGATTCAATTTTTTATATATATAATTAAGAAAAACGAGATTCGAACCTTACTCTTTAAATATAGAGATCATACACTAATTAATGAGCTAAATGCTTAGATGCAATTTAAATTCAATTTAATTCTTAATCATAATAAAAATTTAACTATTGTTAAAACCAATGTTAACTCACTTTTTCAGCTCAAGTGGCATATGATGCATTTGACCATGTTAACTTTCACATAACCATGTCAAATAGCAACTATTAAGTAATTCAACTCAGTTACAACTATATATATATTTTTTTAAGAAATAAAGTGATTCAAAAATACCAATTGAACTCTAAATTAAATTAAATAATATTTTATGCAATAATCGATTGAGTATTATTTTATGCAATTATTTAGTGAGTTTTTACATCTTATGAATGAATTGATATGTGCATATCCAGTTATTAAATTTATTAAATTAATTTTTATAATTATAGTTTGATAACAATTCATAACTCTATGACGCTATTTACTTAAAAAATTCCAAAATATACAATATAATTTTTGGATTAAATTACTGGTTAAGGTTGTTCATACCATACTAACCATAAACTTAGTCATAATTAAAAATTATCACGTGAGTATTTATGAATCCAATCTTAATAATAATTGCTATGCCAGATTAATGAAAAGTTTGAATAAATACATTTTTTTTTCAAATTTTTTTTTCTCTTCTTTAATTTTTCCTTACTTTTCCCTTTCAGATAAAAAGACAAATACTTTCAAAAATCCTAAATCCCTCCTTACCTTAATATCAATATCTTTTGCACCTTTGAAACAATATATCAGACTCCCAGACACAAAATCCAATTCCATTTATATTGGAATTAGTTTGGAAAATGTTGAAAGGTAGAACTGTTTCCATAAATAAAATTTTTCTTTTTAGTCACCAATTTCCTTCCTAGTTCCTATCCAGTCCACCTTCCACCATTGCAGGGAACCTGGAATCAAATGATTCTGAAGCACACCGCCACCACTGCCTGCCATGGCAGATAGGTGAAAATGAAAATGAAAATGCTCGATACAGAGCTTTGATCTGAAATCTAGAATCATTTGTCAAAAGGGGAAGTCACAGGTACAATGTAGCTTCACACAGCTGCTACTGGCCAGTAGCTACATTTCACTAGGCAGAAATATTTCAGATAACATGAAGATTTAGAATGAACTATTGCTAAGCAGAAGTCAAAGTATTTTTTATTTCTAATACGCTCCACATGTGCTACAGAAACGTTTTTGTATGTGCATGTATCCCTATGTCCTACTTTGCTTCAAGATGAACAATTAGTATTAACGGAGAAGGGACAGAACTTATGCTGTTCGATTAAACTACTGACCCCATTTGCTTCTCTATTTTGCTAGGAAAACAATTGTTCTGCAAGTCTAACCATGATAGCTGATCACTTACGGAAATTAAAATATTCCAAGCGCTTGATCCGGCTATTTCCACTCCTTTACCACAGCAGGAGCTTCTTCTTGATCCAAAATTCTGTAGTTTCCAAGAAATGATGTGATGGAAGCTGGTAGGGTCCTCATTAACAATCCTTTTGATTCCATGATACCACAGCACAGGACCTTCCCTAATCCATCGATCTCTGATTCATATTGTTCATAAACAAAGAATGCAGTGAAGGCAAAAACCAGGGCTGCATTACCAATTATTTTGCAAAGTCAATACCAGGATAAACCAAAACAGCTTGTCATTTATTGGCAAAAGTAAATTGTTACTCACCAATGCCAATAAGCACCGCCAACGAATAAGACAGAATCAACATGACAAAATAAAGAACGACCACGGCCTGAATACATTACATGCATAAGTCAGAAGTTCAATAAATATAGAAGAAAAGCTTGCATAGGCAAAGCAATATTCATCATAGAACTTGGTATTATGCTCATCGTTGTGCATTATATGGACTTATGTATAGCTTGTACAGTTATAATCAACCAAAAAAAAAAATCGGAAGTCCGTATTTTGCTAGTTTGCTTCAACTCAAAGTTCGCAAATACTCCACATTGAGTTTTGGGCAGTTTATGCATGTATGGCTGATAAATGAATCTAACCCCTCAGTTAAAGGTCCAACCAAAACAAAACTTTTCACGGCAAACTAGAGTCAAAAGCATTGTCCGAGCAGGCTTTAAAAAGGCTTTGTTAAGTCTAGAATTGTTTTGGTGTTATTCTTCATTTCCAAGGGGTTGGAGCCTGGAGATAACAGGATGAAGGAGTCAATGACAATCAATATTTGTTTTCCAAACTCAAACCATCTCTGCAAGGGATCTAAGTATACTGTTACAGAAATCTGGTCCTTCAGCAAAATTGTGAGGAGAAATCAAAGAAGGTTTTTATTTGCTTTTGTTTTAATAGATGAAACCAAAGAAGCTCTAGTCTTAGATAGTGTCACCAAAAGAAGGAAACGCAATAAAGGTAGCAAATTCAATGTTTTTGACAGGGAAACCGGTCTCATATCTAATGAGACACTTCTAATTCCCTCTGGGATCTATCCCATATCTTTCATCTGTATATATATGTCCAAACTGCATGTTCTTTTCATCCTACTCCAACAATCAAGGTGTATGATGCACCTAATAACAATGCACATCAGACTTCATTAAGGCAAATGCTAATGAGTGCCTAAAGTCACTTTTTAGGGCACGCGCTGCCTTGGAAAATATTTCATATTTAATGGTTAACTCTAAATGTAGTTATTTCCTATGCACTGAGTAAAAGATACTCCTATTCCTTTGATTGGTAATCTTAACAAGTTCCTTGGGGCAGTCACTCATTAGCAAGACCTTTGTAGTGGGTTTAGGTTCAGTAAGTTGGAAGTTTATGGTATGAAGTTGTAGCATAGGAAGAAATACTGCAGTTTAGAGGAAAATTTCTGGCAGTGGCAAGATTTTAGGGGTTTAATAATTAATTAGTGCAGTTAGTTGGCAGTGATAAAGAGATATGTACAGGTTTTAGGTGGTGTACCATAGAAAAGAAAACATCAGGATTTCTGGAAGTAGTTTTGATGCTGTAAAGCGCGAAGAAGGATAGGAACAAGAAAAAATGAACAATAATAAAGAATTTGCCTCCAACCATCACAAGTCATTAATCAAATAAAATAAAATACCTCAAAATCAACACAATTAAGTCCAAATAACTCAAAGGTTTTATATGGGCATAATCCTAAATCCTAAGCACAAAAGTTCCATAAATCACAAGCTTTGGAAATAATATTCAAACTACAACTTTAGACCACCCTAAACCCTAAACCCTATTAGATTTAACCTGAGATGCAATGGACCATTATAGTGGCACATTTTAAAAAATAAAATTACTAGAATGCACCTCGATACAAGAACTCAACAGAAACAGTGGGGGTTTCAGGCAGACACATATAAGGAAAAGTTCAAGGTTGGAGATTTCATATAATACATGTTACAGAATGAAAACCCATAATACTTAACTTATCAATAGAAGACTTTAAAAATGCATGAAATCAAAAAAGAACTGCCAACACAATACAAACCTTGAAAAAATTGCTCCAATCCTCTCCCTTGGCCAACATTCTGATATTACGAACTCCTTTATTCCACATATATGATATGGATCTGATAGAATCTCTGACGGCAGATTCTGAGATTTTAAAGTAAGAAGAAGAAATCCTTTGAACAGCAAAACCACATCTGTTGCAAAGGCAATCATAATTGAGACAAAGGACATATATGCATGTGTGCTTGTCTGAAAAAGATATTTCCAAAAATTTATTACTCCAGGAAAAATTAAACTTGCAAATTTCTTAAGTTAATAGCAGGAATATAAATACTTCAGAGAAAAAAAAAAGGTTCAGGTATGTCAGGTGCTCTACTCCTTGCAAATGACCAAACTGCATTCTTTAATTGCTTTAGGGGGCAAAAAAGACATGGCATCTACTAAGCTAGTTTTACTGTATAATAAGCAAGCCTGGTTGAGTCATGTTGACAGAAATTGTAAAAGTGAACTTGATTAACTCTGAACCAAGGGAAACCCGATAAGTACTTCAGAACATCATTTTAACTATAAAAACTATGAAAAACTACAAAACCTTTCTCTCAAACACCCCCCCTCCCCCCCCCCCCCCCCCCCCCGGCCCCCAGCTCTTATACCCAGAGCATAAGCAAAACAGGGGATGGGAAGAAAGATAGGTAGAGCAAGAGGATATTAATCACAAGAGTTTGGCATTGAACACAGACACTGGATAAGAAAAAGGTGAAATGGGACAACCAAGGGAAATGAGGACTGAGCTACTATTTCACATTCCAGACAGAATGAATCAATGTGCAAAAAAAGGGGACTCAACCGAACTGTAGCAAATTGAAGATGAAACATCTTAGAAGGCCCAATGAAATGCCATAATGATAAAACAACCAAGGCATGTAATTACCAATACTCACATCTTTGATGGTAAAATGCCATATCCATAAAGAACAACTGTAACTAGCAACAGAAGCTTGGCTGCAGATGAGGTAAAAGTTCTTCCGCCGAGAAAGAACCAGTAAAATACCAAAGCCAGAGTGAGGAAGCATGTAAATGTTCTCTTTTCATCTCTCCACAGCAAGATGTCCGCAACTGAAGCAAAGTAATTCAATGTCATTATACAGCGAAAATTGCACTATCATGCCTCATTTATTTACAGAAGCCTACTTGGATGCATCCAAAGAAAAGATGCTGACTCAATAATAATGTCTTAAGTCTTCAATTAGTGATAGATTGGTGCATCTTGTTCTATGCCTCTATCTGATTGTACAGTTTGTGAAACGTTGGCTTAGGCTTCAGGCTGAAGTTAACATGGACCATATAGCCTGTCAGTTACTGTTAAAAACCCAAAAATCGTCACCAGCATTTGAAGAAAGAAAGAATAAAATTTCAATTATTCTTCCCATTGTACAATCTTGTGACGTGTTAGCATGCATCAGAAAGCACCTGAACTTTGAAATTCAGGTAAAAGGGCAGTGGCTAAAATAGTAAGCAAAAGTGATAAACAGCTCCAAGATCAAAATCTACGAAGAAATTGACCATGTGCTCACTGAAAGGATGCTACTTAAAATTCGTTGGCTAAACATAAGCTTCAGAAAAAATTCCTATGCAATGCCATTATGGAGCTCTGCATAAAAAATCATAAAATGGAATACCTATCCCACTGCCCAGCAGCTTCTCTGCTTTGGATTTTTCATTATAATTGCCGTATCTCATAAAAGATGAGTCTTTGGATAAACAAGAGAATGATTCAATGGTCGACTTGACACCATCCTGTATTATCAGCAACAAGAAACAAAAGAGATGTCAAACTTTCAGATAAAAAACTCAGTCTCCCTACTGGATCTTGATAAACTATTTTCTTGTGATTTTAAAAATAGGGCAATGAGAAAAAGAGCCTTCAAATCACACTTCTATATGCTGAATCCAATCACTCTGTGCTTAAATCTAACATTAACTATCTCTTAACGAAGAACACAATGTAACATGAATGAAAATGAGCAAATAAGGAATGGAAATTGTCTTTCTGCTTATGAACTCAGGGGAAGGAAAAGAACAAATACATAAAGATTAAAAGCAGTTATTGGATTCCACGCCCAACTGCCCCTTTCTTGCTTCAATTCCTTCTACCTTTTAAATTTGGAAAAGCAACGAGAATACCTGATTCTACCTTCATCCTATCATTTACGTTCAAAGAAATAAGCAGAATTCACCTCACTCTATTTACCTTCCCATCAAATATTTTCAATCTATACATCATAACGGATATACATAGTAATATGAACAAGAAAGCCTTAGCATTGTTAACTTATTTACATGACAGCTTGTCAGGAAACAAATGAATTGAACTCAAGAATGTTTAATTGACTGTACAAATCAACTGATGAGTTATAATCTAGTTGATGCTTTAGAAGTGGAGACCAGCAGTAGTGCTTCCAATCTATAAGAGATGAAAGATATATTCAAAAGCAATACAATCCTTGGCTAGTTAACTGATAAAAAGTACTGTAGTTTCTGAAAGTCCTAACATAAATCTTGAAAAACTACAGGTTAATAGACTATCTACAAATATTCTATAGAATATAGCAGTTCCAAACGAATGGACAGGTCAAGGGAATATCATACAGTAGAAAGGAAAGCACTGACATAGAAAGAAAGACAGCAGCAGCAGCAGAGACTTACTTCTAGGGAGACAACAGGTGAGTATCCAAGATGCTTTTGAGCGACAGAGCAGTCAAAAGTTCTGGTGCGTGATGCCAACTGAACAAAGTAATGAGGTGACACAGAATAGTTATACATTCTGAAGTGCAATTTGTCATATATATATTGCTGAAGTGAGAGAATATAGGAAACCATCCAAGTAGGAACTTTTATGAACGGTCTGCAATGCAAGTGACAACTCCAGTTAGAAAAAAAAATGTTAAAAGTCTGGCAACATAGAAAACAAAAAATAAAAAATAAAAAAAGAAAAGAATTTCTGATTGCTTCAGCAACCAATCTAGCAGAATGACAAACCACATAAATTGTCAACGGAAAAAAAATGACAATTCAGAAAAGGAAGTCAAACAGAATGGTAAAACATATAACAACAGACTTTGTATACCATAAAAGTAGGAATTCACTACCAAGCCAGCAAGAAAACACATTTGTACTTAATTATCCTTGTTGCTAATTGTATGGAAAAATCCAACAGCATTTCATGCTGATGAATAGGCAATAAACAGCTCATTTCAAAATTCAAGACCAAAGCAAAGCATCCAAAAATACAATAAGGGGCCGCTACATAATCACAGTTTCTTTGTTCCCTTCTGCAGCCCATCATTACCTCTCTTGGTTTGGGGAAGTGCAGGGGATTTAGGTAGCTTTGCTGTGGCAACGCTTGAAATTTATACTATTAGAACAACAGTCTTACTAATCCAAGTAAATCTTATTACATGTCACAATCATGTTATTTAATTAATCTACAACGTAGTAAATCAAGTAAATCAGTATGATATAGCAGAGTTCCTCACATATGAAAATCAGCACACTTTACCTTTGATAGCCTAAGCCTTCAAGGATGAGAGACACAAAATCCCAGAACACCACAGGCTCAAGATTCGAGATGAAAAATGCCTACATATTGAGATCATCCCCCTTATGCATAGGATCATATAAATTAAAATATGATAGAATAGCTAACAACACTCTTAAGGAGTACCTTTCCAGCCACAGAGACTATCCGAGAATCTAGAGTTTCTGCTGCACAAATATGAGCATGAGCAACATTTTCCACATAGGTAAAGTCAGACATATTTTCACCACTTCCTATAATAAACTGAAATGAGAAAACCTGTTACTATAAAAAGGATCAAATAGGAATATTCTCCGTTCCATGATAGTATAGAATAGATGATTATGTTTCCAAAATAGCAAGAAACGTAATTGAATTTTACAAACAGACAACCACCTGCACATTGCCAAAAACCATTCAATAATCTAGGATGCATAAAATCTTACACAAGATAAATCCAAAAATGGGAGACGGGGGCTAAAGATGAAGAGGTTCTTAAAGACTCATTGCTGTATTTCACTTTCAGTCCGTATTCTGATTGTCAATGTATAAATATCCATTATGATCAGGTTGGTTCCAAATTAACAATACTAGTAAATCTACAGCTCTAGACAAATAAAGTGATGCTGAGACAGTTCACAAACCTTTGCCAAACCAGATTTGGCTAAATTCACTAGCAAAGGCACAAATTGTGTGTCACCAGGTCCAAAGATGTTGCTAGGGCGAAGTACACATGTTAGAAGACCATCAATATTGTTAGCTAACCGGACCAGTCCCTCTGCTTGAACCCTAAGGTCAATCAACATATCCTGAAACTGTATTGGTGCATCAATAAACAAAAGGACAAATAGCAAAGAAAAAATTGTAACTCAAAATCCAAATTGTTTCATCAGATTGCAGCAATAAGAAACATACTTTCCCCGGGCAAGTGAACAATTCATCACCATTATGTATATCCTGTGAACCATCAAAAACAACATCTGCAGAACTGTTGTATATGAGTCGTCTAACTTTACAATCTTGGCACGCATTAATGACATTTTTTGCACCTGAACATATTATCAACACAAAGTATCATTTTAAAAATAGAGTATACAATTATAAATCTACAACATCAAAAGAGGGGGAGAAAATACCCATCATAAGAGGGAAGAAAAGACCCATTACCTTGAACTATGATCATGTAGCAATTACAGAAATCATGCGTATTTAAATCTGATGGTTCCATGTAAAATACAACATCTGCACCTTTAGTTACTGCAAGAGGTGAATTGTAGAGGCAGAGTCAATTTCTTGAACATTTTCATTGTTACGAAATTCTAAAACGGAAAATGAAGCTAATGTGTAAAATATGTGAATTCAATAGATTCCTTCTGTCTCAGTATCCAGTTCAGTTTCTTAACAAAGAGAATTCAGATACTGCTTTCTTCATTTTTTTTTTTTTTTGTGCAACCACACAGAAAACAATAAATTCCATAAGACCATTAGTTCCATGCTTAATTTGTGAACGGAAAAGATAAACAAAAAGATTGACTAAACTCTAGCATTTTTCACTGTTTCAGTTCTGACATGTTGTCATGGTTTCTTAGGACTAAATATCGGTATCATAGACCTTAATTTTCCATTCTTTCCAGCTCAAACTAAATCCATCCAGTAATATTTATCTTTGGGGAAGAAAAATGATCTATGAATTTTCTCTTTTATGGTTAATTTCAGAAAAAAAAAGAAAGTAAATAGACAAAAAGCCACCATTTCAATTAAGCAAGGAACTCTTAAGTTGTTGTTCTTACTACTTGCTTTTCATTTCCAAGAAAAAATCAAAAAGTGTTTAAATACAAAAGCAAACAACATTATTGAAAAAATAAAAAATGTAATTTTTACATAACAAAATGTATGATTTTACTTTTATATAGACTAATTATTTTATAATTGCTATTACATTTTAATCATTTGTTCATTTTAATGAACTATTATTTTGCGTTTACTTCATTGCAACTTTGTAGAAAGCAAAAATCAACGAAACCTTTTATTAAAAAGAAAAAAAAATCAATCAAAATTCAAGCAATTTTAAACAAAATGCTCAGCGCAAAGTCGATCCTTACCTAAAAAAACTTAAAATCACCTAATATTTGAAAATATAGATAAATAAATAAATAGCTGATCAAGCTTTCTTTTCTGGCATTTCTACAGTAACCAAAATGCATATACATACACAAGCACGAAATGCTTATATCATATGTAAAGAGGCATATATACGAATAGTGATCGTATAATAATGTTTATATATATATATATATAGATGAACATTTTCCTTTTACCTTTGATGATTTGAGATGTATCGCGAACGTCGACGTTGCAAAAGGAGGCTAGTCCAGAGCAGAGAGCATTGGAGAGGAGAGAATCGGAAGCGGAGGAAGGATCGAGCTTCAGAGAGTGAGAGGATGAATCGGCGACTCGGACGATCCAACCTCCCAGTCGCAGCAGCCTGGCGACGAGGGTTCTCCCTAAAAATCCTCGGCCTCCGAGCACCACGCAAGTTCTCGTCTCGCTCCAATCCCCATACGCCACGTCATTCGCCGTCGTCGTCACCACCATTCTCCTTTTTCCTTTTTTTTTTTCCCCTTTTTTTCTGTGTTCCTTTTGTAATTTCTTTTTCAGCGAGAATCGGGATCGTCAATGTTTTCGATTACTGTGCGGAGGACTATCCCTACGGGCGTTGTAAACTAAGGAGGTGTTTGGCGGGGAAACGTTATATTAATTTTCTTTTTTTTTTTTCTTTTTCCTTTCTGTTAGGACTTTGGAGGCAAAAAACGCAAACCTTTCTTTTGGTAGAGGAGAAAAATGAAAAAGCGTAGATAAATTGGATCGTGGGAGGTGGGTCCCAGGGATCGGTTGAGATGGTCCACGGCGTCGGATTCTTGGGCGCTTTCAGGTGAAAGTTACTACTCCCACTGAACTTTGTTTGTCTCCTAATATTTGTCTTCTCATTTGACGTATACATAATTTGTGCAACAAGATTCGGTTTTTAAGAACAAAAATCTTATTTACACGTAAAAGAATATTTTCACATAAATAGTGATAGGGTTAAAATAATAAAGTCTAAAGTGTTATCATATCCTACTTCATTGAAATATTATTTTTCATTAATTATCCTTGAAGATTTTGTTTAATTGGTTTTTTAAAAGAGATTTTGTTTAATTGTTATCTTTATTAGTAGTATTAACTATCTATTAAAATTTTTGAATTACCATAAATTAAAAATAAATAGGTATAATACTTAAAAACTTCTTAAATTATTTTAAAATTTTAAATAAATTTTTATTTTTTATTACATTCAATTAAATCTTTATATTTTTATTTTGATTCAAATATATCTATATAAATATTAATCAAAATATCATTTGTTATTTATACTGTGTAATATATTGGACACACAATAATGAATGATAGTGTGATGATATGATGGCATAATATTTTTCACTTTTATGTGAATGTCATGTTAAGATCTCATATCAATAAAAAAAAAGTACATATTAAATATATAAATATAAATCTTCTCATATCTATTAGACATGTTTTTTAAGTTAAAACGAGGATATATAATTTATAAACTTATTTAAGTTTTATTTTTAAAATTTAAAATCACCCGCATGAGGTTGAATTTAAGTTCCATCCTATAACATCTGATACAAGAGCAAACCCCATCTCATCAGTTGAGTTTGACATTTAATATAACAGCAAACCCATAAAGTTGGGTTTAGGTTTCACCCTATGATATCTAATATAAGAGCAAACCTAAACATAAGATTCGAGGTAAACCTAAATTAGTGTAAAACTCTCTTAGGTAAAAAAGCCGATGCAACGAGAATGTTACACAATTAAATTAGATAACATGTCATGGTTGGATTTTAAGGATATAAACATGAACTTTTCACTATTTATTAGATAAGTCTTTTGAATTAAAAATATAAATTCATGATTTATAAGCTTTTTTAAATTATATTTTCAGAGTTTAAAACCACATGAGATTAAACTTAAATTTAGATCCGTGCCATTTCAATCGTACCTATATAACTTAAAATAAAAATATAAAAATTTAGTTGAAGGTAATAGAAAATAAAAAATTTATTTAAAATTTATTAAATAATTTAAGAATTTTTATAATTATTACATCAAAATATCTAAAAAAATTGTTTAGACATAATATTTTGTAATACATAATAATAGATAATATTTTTTTATCTTATAATTTCACTTCACTTATTTTGTAATTGGACTTGGAAACTTTTAAAATGAAATCTATAATCTTGAGAAAACACGATAGGTTAAAAAAAAAGGACACAAATATTATTTCAACAAGTTTTTGCTTGATTATAAGGAACACATTTGAACTTTAATTTAGATGTATAAGAAATTAAGTACTAAGAATGGATATGATCGCTCTAAAACTGAAAAAAGGTTACTAATTAACTAAAATGTTAGTCCAATTTTCAACAATCACGTGGAATTTTTTAAAAAAGAAAAAAAAAGTATAATTTTTCCCTTATTATAATATTTTCATGTTTTTCTATGGTTCAATTTCATTTTATTTTGCTTCTCTTGCTCTTATGTTCCCCATTTTCTCCATTTATTTTTTTATTCTCTTTTTTGTTCCTTTAAGACTTCAAGCCAAAGACAAAACGGTGCGTCTCTTTGCGGTATATACAAGAAATTCGGTGTGAGTGTTATATACCATAATAGCTCTCTAGATAACTAGAAAACCAGCCCCAAAACTCGAAACTCAAACTGAAACGGAAGAATAGCAAATGGGCACTCTCTTAAAGTGCTACAAGCCTCTTTTCTCCATCAGATTTTCTTCGTTCCCCAGCTCACTCCGCACATTCCAACTCAGAACTCACCCTTCCAACAACCCAAGAAGAAGAAATCCAATCCGTCGCTGTTTCAGCTCTTTGAGCCCATCTCAGCCGTTAATCAATGGCAAAAGTGTGGACAAAAGGAACGGCACCCGGCCTGCGAGTTCATCAACAGAGCTGTGGCTGCACAACACTATGAGTAAAAAGAAGGAAGTGTTTAAGCCCAAAGTGGAAGGCAAAGTGGGGATGTATGTATGCGGTGTCACCGCATACGATCTCAGCCACATTGGACATGCTCGTGTCTATGTTATTTTTGATGTTCTTTACAGGTCTTCCTTCTCTGCCTTGCCAAATTGATTTATTAATTTTTTTTATTTTAACATAATTGGTTTGGGCACTAATTGGGAATTTGATTTTTTTTAATGGGTTGAAATTGTGGAATTAGGCAGATATCTTAAGCATTTGGGATATGAAGTTTGTTATGTTCGGAATTTCACCGACGTTGATGACAAGGTCAGTTTAGTCTTCATACATAGCGCTTTATTTTTATTTAGCTTCATAATTTTTGTCCTGCTGGACCAAGTACGAGGTTGGCTTGTTTTATTTTTTGTGTATAGTTGTAGAATGTGTAGTGTCTGTAAAACTTGAAATTTATGTGAAGTATCGTTTTTAGTAATTAAGTATTTGAGGGCATTGATTGGCTGTTGCTTTTGCTGATTGCTTATTTTGTTTTTATCCAAAAAGAATTAAATTTTGTTTGCTTTTGCATCCAAATGGTTTTTTTTGCCTTTGTTTGGAAACAAAAAGCAATTAATAGAAGTAATAAGAAAATGGTTTCTTAATTTTTCAGAGGTTATTCGGTTTCTTCATTAGATATTTATAAGAACCAATGAAATGGGATTTTCGTTGTCATTGCTGACCTACATGACAAAATATTCATCAAATTTTGCTTCTTGAAATTGCTGCTGCTTGCAAAAGTGTGTCTTTTAAGTTATTCTCTTTTTGCCTTCTACTCTTGACTGTCAAAATTCCAACTTTGTTGTTGTAGCTATTTTATAGAGCCGTTAAGATTTGGATGCCGACTGTTCTCTTTTAATTGATATGACAGGATAGCTGAGTCTGCACTTTTTCAAATTCTGTAGATAATTGCTAGAGCAAATGAATTGGGGGAGGATCCAATCAGTTTGAGCAGATGTTACTGTGATGAGTTCAATCAAGATATGGTGCATCTTCATTGTCTGCCCCCTTCCGTTGAACCTCGTGTCTCAGATCACATTCCTCAAATCATTGACATGATCAAGCAGGTAATTTCTGGTCTCATGATTGCATGTTTTTTTGTTCATTTTCAACATGTCTTCTTTGGCGTGCCATAGTGGTAGCTCTTGCAAAAGTTGCTATCTGTAATCCTTTTGCAGTGCATTGGTTGCATGCTGCCACTTTATATTTGCTTATTACCTTGTCATGGGTGCTCTTGAAATATTCAAAAGTGCAGGGAATGATGTAAATATTCAAGTATTACATCTCATTCTAAAATTCTTGGGATAAACTCGTTTATGATTGTACTGTATCAAACATCATTCATAATTTTTGTTTATCTTTCTTGCTCTTCATTTGAGTTATATGCTAATCATTAAGAGAGAAGAAAGTTTGCTAGGGAAGAGAATTAAAAAAAA